GAGCAAGGGGGAGACCTTTATGGCGGGGTGGGAGGTTGAGGCAAATAGCCTGGCTGCTGATTACGCCCAGCCAGACAGCCGGGCAATCAGAAGATCCCAGCGGGACGCGCTGTGCATCCGGGAGGCTTTGAAAGCTAGGTTCCTGACTGAGCAGGGTAACCAGTGACTGTTAAGTTTGTGGACACAGAAGCTGAACCTGCCCCCGTTTCTTTACCCAGTTTATGTTGATTATCCTCTCCAGCTACATACCCCTTTCACCCCCTTCCCAAAAAATAAAATCTGTTCTGTTTTGTTAATGAACACCGTTGTCTTTATTACTGTTTTCGCGGGAATGTTTTAAACCGGGGACGCAGACTGTGGCGGGGGGCGGGTTTAGTGTTCTGATGCAAATGATGCTTCTAAACTCCAGGAATGACAGGCTCCACAGTGGTGGACTGGTTGTTTCAACGGAGCCTGCCAGCACTCCTGGGCGGGACTGCGTGTATGTGTCAGCTAGGTGACTTTCTGGCAGTGGGAGGAGGGTTACAGATCCCCTGCTGCGTGGCTCTGTGATCCAGGATAAGGACCGCTCCATAAGATCAGTAACTGCCCTCCCCCGCCACAAAGTCACAGAGCAACCCCCCTCTCCCCCACAGAACATGAAAACCACCTCCCAGACTGACCAGGGTAACTAGTGACTGCACTGTGTATGTGTCCTGATGCTGGACCTGCCCCCGCCTCTGTACCCTGCTAAAGGTGACTGTCCTGTCCAATTACCAAGCACCTTCCCCCCCTTCAGACAGACTCTCCTCCAAAAGAAAATCATGGAAACAGTAATTAACAGAAACGAATATTTTATTATGAACCACACATGAAACGGGGGGGGGGGGGGAAACTTGTGTGAGGTGGGTAGGAAAGGACTTTTCAAATTTTGAGCAGTCTGCAGGGGTTGACTGAAAGTTTTAACGGCCCTTGCCGCCCCTCCTTCTTTGGACTTTGGGTGAGGGGGGTGTGGGACTTGGTGGCGGGAGAGGGCAGTTAGAGATAGACTGCAGCGGGGCTCTGTCCTCCTGCCTCCGGTCTTGCAGAACATCCACAAGGCGCCGGAGCGTGTCCGTTTGCTCCCTCATTAGTCCAAGCAGCGTTTGAGTCGCCTGCTGGTCCTCTTGACGCCACCTCTCCTCCCGTTCCATGATTGCTCGGTGCATTTGGGACAAGTTCTCCCTCCACTGTGTCTGCTGGGCTGCCTGGGCTCGGGAGCAGCCCATTAGTTCTGAGAACATGTCCTCACGCGTCTTCTTCTTCCTCCGCCTAATCTCCGCTAGCCTCTGGGAGTGTGATGCCAGGCTGGGTTGGGAGACAGTCGCAGATGTGTCTGTGAGAATGGGAAAAAGGGAGTGAATTCCTGAGACAGATAAATTTTGTTGTGAACAAAGAACATAGTCTTTCTCTGTGAACAAGACCATGCACTGCACCTCTCACATGCGCACTCAGGACAAGGTCGAATTTTCGGCCCTCGCCTTCAGTGCCTGGGGTCTTGCACTGCCGATCTGAGAAGCGGGGCAGGACACCTGAACTTCTGTAGCAGGCAAACATGGTAAGCCGTAGACTTGTGGCTGCTTAAAACTTTAATAGTTGCACTGGCCTCCTTTCACACTGAAAGCAATGCCAGTCTCTGCTGGCAGCAATCAGGCTAGCATGAACTCTGCCCCTGTCTCACCCACTCGCGGCTGTCCCAGGGAAAGATCCCTGTATGCTGCCCCTCTCCCTCCACCGCGTGGCTGTAAAGCAGTCCCAATACTAACATTCCCCTCCCTAATTCAAAGCAGGGCATCATGAGCGACATCACCCTCATGAGGATCTCGGACAGCGAGAAGGAACGCATGCTTAGGGAAAGCATGCAAAAACCAGGGCCGTATGCTGCCATGCTCTGCTGTGCGATGATCCCAGAATACTTGATTGTGTCGTGGCAGGGAAACGTCTCGTACCATGGGGGACCAAATAAGATCGCCCTACCCAGGAACCTGATGAACAGGCTGGAAAAGTACCTCCATGAGACCTACGTAGAGTTCTCCCATGAGGATTTCGCGTCTATCCCCGGCCATATAGACCGTATTTTGGTGTAGCTGCACTGGCAGGAAGTAAAGAGTGGAGCGTCTTTGGCTGGAGAATCATGAAAAACCGGACATTGTTTGATTTTTTTTAAATAGTTGGGACTAAATAGTTAAGCGCCTAAGGCAAAGAAATCATGAAAAACCCACTGTTAATATTATAAATATTCCAGTTCTGTTGTACATAAAAGTTTAGATGTTTAAATCACTTCATGAAAAACACATTGTTAATATTATAAATATTCCAGTTCTGTTAAAAATAAATGTTTAGATGTTTAAAGCACTTACTGCTTGATCCTTCCCCTGATTCTGTGTCCGGGCTAACGGCTGGGGACGGTTGGTAGGGGATCTCGGTAAGGGTGATGAAGAGATCCTGGCTGTCGGGGAAATCAGCGGTGCCAGTGCTGTCGACTGCCTCGTCCTCCTCATCTCCTTCTTCATCTTCCCCGTCCACTAACATGTCCGACGAGGAACCGGCCGCGGACAATATCCCATCCTCAGAGTCCACGGTCAGTGGTGGGGTAGTGGTGGCGGCCGCACCTAGGATGGAATGCAGTGCCTCGTAGAAACGTGATGTGTGGGGCTTGGATCCGGAGCGTCCGTTTGCCTCTTTGGTTTTTTGGTAGCCTTGTCTCAGCTCCTTGATTTTCACGCGGCACTGCGTTGCATCCCGGCTGTATCCTCTCTCTGCCATGGCTTTTGAGATCTTCTCATAGATCTTAGCATTCCTTCTTTTGGAGCGCAGCTCTGAAAGCACAGACTCATCGCCCCACACAGCGATGAGATCCAAGACTTCACGATCAGTCCATGCTGGGGCCCTCTTTCTATTAGATTGCACGGCCATCTCTGCTGGAGAGCTCTGCATCATTGCCAGTGCTGCTGAGCTCGCCACGATGTCCAAACAGGAAATGAGATTCAAACTGCCCAGACAGGAAAGGGAATTCAAATTTTCCCGGGGCTTTTCCTGTGTGGCTGGTCAGAGCATCCGAGCTCGGACTGCTGTCCAGAGCGTCAACAGAGTGGTGCACTGTGGGATAGCTCCCGGAGCTATTAGCGTCGATTTCCATCCACACCTAGCCTAATTCGATATGGCCATTTCGAATTTAGCGCTACTCCTCTCGTTGGGGAGGAGTTCAGAAGTCGAATTTAAGAGAGCTCTATGTCGAACTAAATAGCTTCGTGGTGTGGACGGGTGCAGGGTTAATTCGATGTAACGGCGCTAAATTGGACATAAAAGCCTAGTGTAGACCAGGCCTTAGTTACTAGAATTTTTAAAAAGGAGAATAGTAATGGGAAAAATTAAATTAATAAGTGATCTCGCAGCTGAGAATCTCTTTGATAATGACATTCACTCTCCACTATTAGTAAAACCTCTGAACCAAAGTTACGGAAGCAACATGTACAGCAACATGTACATGAAAATCTGACATTTTGGAGCCAAATTTGTTCAAAGATTACTTGAACTGGTCTCCCCTGCCCAAAGGAAAATTATGTGAGGTCAAGACCTTAAACACTAAACTTCTGTGCGGAATCCACACATCCCATCTGGCCTAGATCCACAACTCTCTCTCTGGTGGGATAGTTAGGTGTCCTGCCCTGCACACTGGACTGTCAAGTCACTGGCACCAGCATCATTTAATTTCTCATCTTAGTTCCCAATTTGACCTAGTAATTTGGATCAGCACATAAAAAGGTCTGAAGAGACAAAGCTATGTGGTTCTCTGAGGGCATGGCTGAAAACCCTTCTCCTAACCAGTCGTGTAGGGGCATTGATGTTGAGAAGTGAAAGTGGTAGGTAGAGATCCAAAATTATCAAAGGAGACTGTCTACATTTGTACTTATATACTTAGACTCGCTATTTAAATCTAGAACTACCAATTTTCAGGAGCCCAGAGCTATGTCAGGTGCTGAATGTTAGATTGAGGATCCAGGGAGGATATTTAGGAGTCTAATCCTCAGTCCAATATGTGAGGCCTCAGCTGTGCTGTCTCACCTGTTGTTATTGGGCTTGTGTGCAGAAAGCCCTCCTCATCGAGATGGGAATATCCCCTTTAGTAATATTACATCTATGAGCAAGGTGGTGACATAAGACATCATGATCTCCCAAACCAGTTCAGGGTACTGGATCACATCCCCACAAGCATCCAAGAATCATTGCTTCCCAGCTACCTTCTTTCCTAATAAAGTAACGGCTTCTACTTGCCATGTAGCAGCCCCGTGCTTCAATCCACGGTCCAGGAAGATAATGTGTGTTATCACAATACCCAACCAGAAGAGGTAAAAGATTGTTCTTACCACAACTGAGTTGTCCAGTGTCTGAGTATTAGACATACTGAATAAACCAAAATTACCACAGTGTAGTGGCTCTGCCCTATCTTTCAGGCAAAACACATACGAACAAATTCTGCTCTCAGTAACATCCATGCAAAGCCACAAACTTTATTGAGGATGTACAAGTGTAACTGAGAAAGGAATTTGGGTAAAAATACTTAGTGTAGTAATTTTAAAGTAGATCAGATACTAACACAGGGTTCGGCAACGTTTGGCAAGCGGCTCGCCAGGGTAAGCACCCTGGCGGGCCGGGCCAGTTTATTTACCTGCTGAAGCGGCAGGTTCGGCCGATCGCGGCCCCCACTGGCTGCGGTTCACCGTCCCGGGCCAATGGGGGCGGCGGGAAGCCGCGACCAACACATCCCTCGCCCGTGCCGCTTCCCGCTGCCCCCATTGGCCCAGGATGGCGAACCGCGGCCAGTGGTGGCTGCGATCGGCCGAACCTGCCGCGTCAGCAGATAAATAAACTGGCCCGGCCCGCCAGGGTGCTTACCCTGGCGAGCCGCGTGCCAAACGTTGCCGACCCCTGTACTAACATATTAAACATTTTCTCAGCAAAGCAAACCAACCAGCACCTACTTTTATTCCTGTATCCAGCTTTCGTGTCATCCCTTCACTCCATATAACAGAATCATTTTCTACAAAAAGCAGACTCTCTATGTTTTCATTCCATATTTGATAAACTAGATGCTGAAATCCAGGTGTAGAATCCAAAGGTTCAATTCCATAGCTGACATTCTTTAACTGCAGTATCCCTCTGAAAAAGCCAAAATTATGTGAAGCTATAACATAGTTTGAATGAAACCACAGTCAGTCTGAAAGGCAACAGATACTGTAAATGCAAAAAAACCTTCTGAATTATTTAATTTCTGTATTTAAATAAAAGTGATGTCATTACCTAAGTCCAGAACAGGTGCTGAGTGTCACAACTGAATTTGGAAAACCTGCAATATATCCTTTGTAGAAACAATCACGCTAGAAAAAATAATTTAAGAAAAATTAATGGCTTACTTATCAGTAAGGGGAGTTCACCACCCAAGAGCTGGAAATTATTTTAGTATTGAAATGTTGAGGCAGTGCACATCCGTAATTATGTAGGTTATGTTGTCACTCTAACTTTAAAGGATATGCTCCCAATGAAAAGATTCAGAGTATATGGGGACAAGGGGCCCACAGTCTGTAAACGTGAGTAGATATGAGTGAACTGGAAAACTCCAAATGATCAACTTTTCTGTCTTTGTACCCCTCTCAGGGCCAAATTAAACTTTTGTGGACCCCACCCCGCACTTGGCCCATGCTCTGCTCCAAGGCCCCGGCCCTGCTCTGCATCTTCCCTCAAGGCCCTGCCCACCACTCACACACAGAGGGGAGGGAGCAGAAAAGAGGGGGGGCAGAGAGGAGCAAGCAGTGGGGAGGGGAGGGGTGGAGAAGAACAAGCAGTGGGAGGGGCCTCGGGGGGAAGAGGCTGAGTGGGAGCAGAGCCTAGGGGCAGACCACAGGCTGAGTCAGGGGCAGGGCCACAGTCCAGGCACCAGGGCCCCTTCTGAGTGTGGGCCTGACGCCACGGTGCCACTGTAAACCCAGTACTGTTCCCTCTACTGAACTTCACTCTTCGGGTACTATTATCTATTTATCTTAGGTACTTGTATGGCCTCCATCACCACAGTATCTGAGCATCTCAATGTATTTATCTTCATGGCACTCATGTAGGGTGACCAGATGTCCCGATTTTATAGGGACAGTCCCGATATTTGGGGCTTTGTCTTATATAGGCACCTATTATTCCCCACCCCCATCCCGATTTTTCACACTTGCTATCTGGTCACCTTACACTCATGAGGTAAGGAAGTTCTATTATCCTCATTTTACAGATGGAGAATTGAGGCACAGAGAGACTAAGTAACCTGCCCAAAGCCACACATGAAGCCTGTGCTGAGGAGAGACTTGAAACTGGGTCTGCCAAGTCCTAGACTAGCGCCCTAATCATTGGACCATCCTTCCTCTCCAATATTCCAATACTATGAGCAAGTACTTTGAGAAGGTACTGTTAGCCTGTCGATAATATTAAAGAGAAAAGCTTAGGGTGCATTGCTCTTCTGAAACTAGCATCTGCCATTGCCATTAACTGCAGATTAAATCCTACTTTGGGGATCTGGGGAGAACAGTTTATGGATAATAAGCTAATATTATCTATAGTGAAATGCTCAGGATTGTAAGAAACCCATAGTTCTTTTACATCTATGTTTTTCTTTTGATTTTACATATAATTGAGATCTTCATAATTATGCTATTGATTTTATGAGTTTCAAAAATGTTCAGCATTGGCACTCCACTCCACTCCAACTAACTTTAATGGGAACAAAGTTAAGTCAACACTAACAGCTTTAGAAAATCCCACTCTAAAACTCTGTTGTAGTGCCTTTACCACAGATGCTTTCTTGATAAGGCTGTTAATTTAATACAGTTCTAAATTTGAAAATAATAATTTTTACTCTTAGTAATTCTAATGGATATTTGTACCTTTCATTGAAGAAGCCCATACCAGGATTAGCAATAAATAAGAAAAGTCTAAGGTACTTTCCAACAGGAGAGTCATTTTAATACTTAAAAATATAAGTAAAATCCCCAGAGAGTATTTCTAACAGCGAGTCTATTTTGAAAAAGCTAAACCTGCAAGACACAGTAAATAAATCTTACCTTAATATGTGGGAAATTAGAATGAACAGACCCCTCTTGGCTGTAAGTATACACCCTGAAATTATTGGGTAAAAAAACTCTATTTAAAAAAAAGAAAAGAAAAAAATTTGAATTCCAAAATAAGTATTATACATTCCTGAAAAATTAAAGAGCACTCACACTTATTTCAGCATGCTGCAATGATTTTTTTCCACCCTTTAGTTCAGTTTCTTGAGTCACAATTTAATGTTTTATGTTTTCTTTCCGATTGGAAAATTGTTGAGTTAGATGGGGTGACAGTAATGATCAGCCTTCAAGGTACACAGCTACAAACCCTTCTGAGGATTCCAAGTTCTTTTGCTGTTTGCCAGTCAGCTTCTCAATCTTCTCCTTAAGTCTTGAAACTCAAGGATCTGTGAGGGTATTTCCTACTCATCAATTGTCAGTGCATAATAATAAGAATAACAGACTAAAGCAACAAGATAGAGAAGTATAAGTTTGGACTCTTACAGACAAAAAATAATAACCAAAGACTGGAAAACAAAGGGAAGTTAAAAACAAGTCATCCAATACCTGACAGGATTTATTAGAAACATTTATAATAGCAGATTACACAGTACCCAGCCAAAGGGTGAGGAAGAAAGTCAGTCACTTACTGTTGCTTCAGGTGAAGGGTATATGACCTCTCTTCTATTGTAATAACATAGGACACCTGGTTCTAACGCATCCAGAATGACAGAGAAAAAGAGATTTACTAACACAGTATTTTAAATAGCTCAATAATTCTGCATCTACTAAACATGAACATAAATTTAAAGTGCTTATTGAAAAAGTACACTGCAAGTGTTTCTCAAGAGAAATGGACAAATTGAGATTAAAATACACCAGACCAGGGTTGACCCCTCTTGACATCTACCAAAACATATTGTGTTGTGCCCTTCCAAAGCTCTGTGCTGTGCAGAGTGACTCAATCTTTTCTTTCTTAAACTGAATCATATGTTCCTTTTAAAAGCTCCTTGTCTATAAGCAACCACAGCTAAGGAGAAGGAGAAAATGTTAAAAGGAAAAACAATATAACAATTCAAAATATGTAGTTACAATTAATAAACTACGTGAAATCCTGCTCCAATTACCACAGGGGACAAAATCACATATCAGTGTACACTATATAATTTAAAAGAATATTTTATGTGGCAATAAAATTTCTATACAAAGTGATACAGTATAGGAAGTTATTTTCATGGGAGCCAAATAATTATACTGATAGTGCAACTGAGCACAAACCCACCAGGGTTCATAATATCATGATGTACAGCTATCATAAAAGTGACTGTAAAACCATTTAAAAATAATTGAATACAATCATCAATAAAAATGATTAGACTTTAAAAAACAAGTAACATTATGTGAAAATTATTTACATAAGAATTGCCATAATGGTTCAGACCAGTACTAGTCTAGTCTATTATCCTATTTCCAGCAATAGCTTGTACCAGATATATCAAAGGCAGGTACAAGAAGTATAGTGGACCATTATGGAATAACCTGCTCATAAATTAAATTTATTCCTAATCCCCTTTCATTAGTGTTTGGATTATACCCTGAATAAGGAGGGTTTATATCCCTTATAAAAATTATGTTATCCAATAAAACTTTTATTTCCTTTCAGCAATCACACATATATTGCCTTTCATTTCCATTGAATATTTCATTGTGCTTGCTCTTATTTTATACATATCATCATCATCGTCCCCTCTTGTTCCTCCTCTTCCTTCTCAACTGAACTCTCCTCATACAGAAATTTTCCCATGTGTCGAACTGTTTTGTTGCCCAACTCGAGAACTCTTCTATTTCTGTAACACTTTTCAGAGACAAGATGTCTAGAACTGATTGCAATATTCCAGGTGAGAGTGTGTTATCAATTTGTGTAATTGGATAATATTTTCAGTATTATTTCTATCCCATTATTTATATACACTTTATTTGTTTTTTTTGACCGGAGCTGCACTCTGAGCAAATGATTTCAATGAGGTAGTCACAATGAACCACGGGGATCTTTCTCCTGAGACATTACATTAATTTAAAACACTGCAATACATGCAAATAGTTTAAATTATTCCTTCATTGAGCATTACTTTGCATTTGACAAGACTAAGACTGCCAGTAAATTTCAAGCCAATACCTGTAAGATTTTGTAAGCTGAAACTTTTTAAAAAATGTTGTACAAGAGATTTGCAGCTCCCCTTTAAATCTGAAAGTTTAAATGCTCGAGCACTTTGCCATATCTAGATCAGTATATCAAGATGGTTGACTGTACAATATTTCATGATGGTACACAGAAATTATAAAAGCCACAAGAATTTGTGCACGGAAGGATTTCTAGTTGTACCTTCAGCTAAGCAAAATTATTATATACGAGTCCATATTTTTTTAATAATTAAATTTCTTAATTATAAGCACTAGTACCTGATTTCCATTTTGATATGATGGCATTGACCATGGAACCATGATTTGCAGAAATGTTCGCTGAGAACCTAGAGAAGAAAAAATCTTCACTAACTATATTTATTAATATTCCCCCTGTCATACATCACCCTTCACTATCTGCCTAAACTGTTCCTTCCTATCCATCCTCCCGTCTCTATCACCAGCCATGGCTTCCTCTCCATTTCTGAATGCAATATAAAACTGTCATCTTGGTGTCTGGCATGCTTGACTGACTCTCTCTTCAATCTGCTCTGGGTCCACATCCACCTTATTCCCCATATAAACGCACACTACTCCTCTAATCTTGGCTTCCTCTCTTTCCGCTTCATTCGCCGAAACTGGGGGAAGGTTTTAAGCTCTTTTGTTTTTGCTGCCTGTTTAGCTGGCACTTTCTCTCTCTGAGCCAATCCAATCAAGTTTCTTCTTCAAATGTAAGCTTAAAACTTTTCCCGTCACCTAGCTAACTGCCTCGCTCCCTTCCCTGAATATGTGTCAAATGTGAAATTGCTTTATCAATGTCCTGATTTCTAGCTCTCCCCTTTTCTGCAGGCCCTTGGCCCATCATGCCCTGTCTCGCTGTTCCCAGTTCTACAGTGTCACCTCCATTAAGGCCTGTCGCGCTACACTGCTTGGAGATATGCAACACGAAAGATCTTTCCTGGAACACATAATGATGAACACTGGGTGAGAGAACAAAATCTGCCAGGGCCTGGGACTCACAGGATTCAACTCCCTGATTCATTTACCTCAGAGGCCTGGCTCTCCACCAAGCCTCTCCCTTCTTCTCTCACCTGGAGGGTCAGGGATAGGGGAGCTGTAGGAGGGACAGCAGAAGGCTTCTCAGTGCTGAGGGTGGCTCTTGAGGGAGCAGTGACATGGGAACAGAGCTGATGTCTCTGGGGGTGAAGTGGCATGGAGATGTCTGTCTCCAGGGAGCCAGTGACACCAGAAGAGCTCTTGCAGCACCGACCCAAACAGAATGACACGCGGGGGGAGGGGGTCTATCCCTGAAGCGGGGGCAGTTGCCAGAAGACATTGCAGTGAAATGGGGATCTCTCTCCCTGGAAGGAGGGGGGCAGTGATATAGGGTAGGTCTCTTTTCCCTGGAATGGGGGAGAATTGGCATGGGGGACTCTCTCTCCTTGGGGGGGGGGGGAGAGGGAGGGGGGGGACAGTGAGGGAGGTCTCTCCCAGGGAGTCACTGAGGGGGGTCTCTCCTGGGGGGATGTGACTGGGGGTGGGTCTCTCCCAGGGGAGAAGTGACATGAGCCATGTTTCCCGGAGGGGTGAGGGGCAGTGACAAGGGGGGCCTCTCCCTGGCAGGGGCAGTAACATGAGGAGTGTCTCCCTGGCCGGGGGTGGGGTGGGGGGGGAAGCAGTGACATGGGAGTCTCTCCTCGGGGTGGGGAAGAGTAACATGGGGGACAGTGAGGGAGGTCTCTCCCAGGGGGGTCAGTGATGGAGCCAGTGACACTGGGGGGTCTCTCCCAGGGGGGCAGTGACATGAGGGTCTCTCCTGGGCGATGACACAAAGGGGGGGTCTCTCCCGGGGGGGCAGTGACATGACCCGTCTCCCCCCGGGGGGGGCAGTGACATGGGGGGCTCTCCCGGAGGGGCGGGGGGCAGTGGTGGGGGTCTCACCCAGCGCGGGGAGAAGGTGGGCCAGGAGCAGCGCCAGGACGGGTCCCATGGTGCGGGGTAGGCGGCGCCAGTTGGAGCCGGGAACGGTCGGGCGGTGAAACGGCCTCCTGGGGCCTCGAGCCGGCTGGCAGCGCGTCACTCAGACCGAGCCCCGCCCCCCCCGGCCCGGACCCGCCCCCCTCCCTCACACACAGGTGGGGCAGTGTGGGGGTGGGGACTGTGGGGGGGTTGGGAGCAGCGTGGAAGGGTGTTGGGAGGGGG